CAAGCAACAAAAATAAAATGCTCAATAGAAAATGAACAATAGGAAATGAACCTTGCTCATGTAACTGTAACCCCTCTGTACAATATCTTTACAATAAAAAATATATATTAAGAAGAAAAAAAATGTTATTATCAACCCATCCTAAAATACATGGTAAGTCACAAAAATGAAAAAAAAAGTATATACCATAATAACTGGCCTCAAAGATTGATTTAATTTTTTGGAAAGTAGTTATGGTATTGGTAATATATTCAAACCCTTGACAATTCTAATACTGGAATTCTTTTCTATGAGGAGATAAATAATAAATATTAAACAAACAAAAAAAGCCACTTATGAGGGAAGGGGTAACATTGTCCAAGAAGAAATGTACTCATGGAGCTGGGAATGTGGCTTAGTGGTAGAGTGCTTGCCTAGCAAGCATGAAGCCCTGGATTCGATTCCTCAGTACCACATATAGAGAAAAGGCCAGAAGTGGCACTGTGGCTCAAAAGGTAGAGTACTAATCTTGAGCAAAAGAAGCTCAGGGACAGCACCCAGGCCCTGAGTTCAAGCTCCAAGATTAGCAAAATAAACAAACAAACAAAATAGGAGGATGGGCTGGGAAGGTGGCTCAGTGGTAGAGCGCTTGCCTTGCATGCTTAAGGTCCTGGGTTCGATTCCTCAGCACCACATAAGCAAAAAGAAAAAAGCTGGAAGTGGCGCTGTGGCTCAAGTGGTACAGCGCTAGCCAAGAGCTGAGGGACAGCGCCCAGGCCCAGAGTTCAGGCCCACGACTGGACCCAAAAAAAAAAAAATAGGAGGATGCTCATCCAGGCCAGCCCAAGCAAAAAAAGAAACTCTATTTGGAAAATAACCACAATAAAAAGTGTTGGAGACTTGGTTCAATTTGTAGATTGTCTGACTAGTTAATCTTGAGGCCCTGAATTCAAATGCCAATACTTCCCCACCCCCCAAAAAAAAAATTTATAAAATACCTCCTTATCACAGTATGGTGAGCCCCAGCTGGGGATGTGGCTTAGTGATAAGAGTGCTTGCCTAGCATGCATGAAACCATTGGTTCGATTCCTCAGTACCATATAAGCAGAAAAGGCCGGAAGTAGCATGATGGCTCTTGGTAGAGTGCTAGCCTTGTACAGAGTGCTAGCCTTGAACACAGAGAGGCTCAGGGACAGTTCCCAGCTCCTGAGTTCAAGCTCCAGGACTGGCAAAAAACAAAACAAAAAACAATATCTTGAGCACATTAAATGACAATTATAGAACTATGCACATTACAATGTTAAACATAAAGGGCAGCAATGACAATACACATACTAACCACAAGGAAAAATGAGCAGGGTGCTGGTGGCTCAAGCCTGTAATCCTAGCTACTAAGGAGGCTGAGATGCAAGGATCATGTTTCAAAGCTAGCCTAGGCAAGAGAGTGTGAGAGACTCATATCCAATAAACCACTAGAAAGCCGGAAGTGGCACTGTGGCTCAAGTGGTAGAGCTGAAGAGCTGAGGGGCATACCCAGGCCCAGAGTTCAAGCCCCACGACCAACAAAAAGAAAAATACAGAGAATGAAAAGTAGTTAAGCTTATTACCATTAGTTATCTCTAGGTGATAAAATTAAGGATTCCCCTCACACACATTGGATTGTTATCCATAAAGCTACAATGAGTATTAGTGTAATCTTTTGACTGGGGAAACTATTCAAAGAATGGAGGAAAATTAACAAGATAGCTTTAACCATAATATGATTTCAAATCTCTACTGGCAAAAAAATTTTAATGGCAAAAAATAACCTGAAGTAGGTATTTATGTAGCAGGTTACAGAAATCTGTCTTTCTTTACAAAACACAATTCTAATAAATAACAATCTAAAGTAAGATACGAACTATCATCACATGAAAACAAGAGAAGTTTGATTTGGATACATTATATGTGTACATAAAAACATCACATTGAGGGCTGGGAAGGTGGCTCAGTGGTAGAGCGCTTGCCTTGCATGCATGAGGCCCTGGGTTCCTTCCATTCCTCAGCACCACATAAGCAAAAAAGAAAAAAGCCGGAAGTGGCGCTGTGGCTCAAGTGGCCTTGAGCTGAAGAACTGAGGGACAATGCCCAGGCCCAGAGTTCATGCCCCACAACCGGACCCAAAAAAAAAAATCATTCTTAGTGGGCTATTCTGGTGGCTCATGCCTATAATCCTAGCGACTCAGGAGGCTGTGATCTGAAGATCAAGTTTCAAAGCCAGCTAGGGCAGGAAAGTTCATGAGACTCATATCTCCAAAAAAACCCACCAGAAAACCAGAAATGGTGCTGTGGCTCAAAGTGATAGAGCAAGAGCTCAGGGACAGCGCCAAGGCCCTGAGTTCAAGCCCCCCAACTGACAAAAAAAAAAATGTGAAGGCTAAAATGTGTTTGTGACTATGTATGACTATGCCATAATACTATTAAATTTATGTAATTAATTTCAATAAAGAAAACAACTTTTGATATAGTAGTGTCAATACTAACCAAATAAAAGAAATATTTTCATCTTTCAGTCTTTTATTACAAGAAAAGGCAATAATCTTTCATTTACTATAACACATTTGAATCAACACACCAAAATATTAATAATTGTTTCTTTAAATCTCTGCTGCAGCAAAAACTGTTGTCTTAGATCAGGTAAAAAAATCAGGCAAAGGGGCTGGGAAGGTGGTTCAGTGGTAGAGCGCTTGCCTTGCATGTCTGAGGCCCTGGGTTCGATTCCTCAGCACCACATAAGCAGAAAAAGCCAGACTGGCACTGTGGCTCAGGTGGTAGAGCAGTAGCCTAGTGCTAAAGAGATGAAGGATATTGCCCAGGCCTAAAGTTCAGGCCCCACAGCCGACCAAAAAAAAAAAGCAGTAAACAAGTTTCCTTTAAGGCCTTAAGTAAATTGCATGATTTAAAACAAACATTGGAATCACAAGAAAAGGTTCCCCTAAATGTGCCCCCCTCATTTCAGGGGATAAGGGCACAGGATTCTGGGCCCAGTTTCAATCATCCAACTGGCTACAGAATCCTTGCATGAGTTACTTAATCTGTGTTCCTGAAACTTCTCATTTGCAAAAAACTGAATATTGCTTTTTCCTAAGTTGTGGAGAATACTAAACAAGTTAAGGCACATACAAACACCACGTGGACCAGGAACCAGTGTTCAGCACTAGTGCTACAGGCATGAAAGTATAATTACAGTTAAACAGGCCCAAAGATGAAAAAGTACCAGAAGAATATCGTTGATGGGATAGTTGAAAAAGATTTGTCTCCTTACTTTTCAATCATGTGCCCTTTCTACCTGTTATCTATACCTAAGTATTGAATTATTAGTTTTAGCCATCAATAAATTCTCACACAACACAGCAGCCTGAAAAAAGAAAAAGAGAAAAAAAGTAAGTTCTAGTAGTGAAACTGCAGTAAGTTCTACAGAGAGAAAAAAAATTTTTTACACCAAACCGAAAGCCCAGGTCACCTTTGTATTATTACCATGATATTTTTCAATCGCCATTTACTCAGATCTCGAGTTAAGGAGTGTATAACAAACACTTGCGAATACTGCCAAATCTTCACTCTTATGTTCTCTAGGAGAAAAATCAAGGTTTTCGGGAAAACACTAGACTCTCTCGCTGCAATCACTGTGGGTGGCCGTCTGCGACTTTCAGGTAAGAAAAAAAGTGTGTTTAGAGCCAAAAGTGGCAACCCAGATTTAGAGGCTTTCAAATGTGCATTGCCTAAATGTAGCCTGTCCCTACGGTGACCACAGTATGCGTTACACGCGGACAACTGCCATAATGTTTTGCCGTGTTTTCGCCTCCGTATTTTGAAACCCCCACTTTGGAAGCTATTAGGCGACTAAAATGCCGAGATTCCCCCCCCACCACCAGATTTGGCCACAGCGTAGGAAAATTCCAACTAAGGGGAATTCTTTCACCAACTAGAAAGGTAGATCTGCTACTTTGTTAGCCGCTTTAGTACAAAATGGCGGAAGGCAATTTACCGAGCCCCTCGCCATTTTGCAAACTTAATTATATTACCAAAACGCTGCGCGTCACCCCCAATTCCGTCATTCGGTCTGAAATGTGCGCATGCGCTGCTCCTAGCATCACTGAACCAGCACAAGCAGGCTCAAATAGGCAGGCGCAACAACAGCAGCTTGCCCCCTCCGCCGCGCGCAGCCCCACGCGCACGCGCTTTGCCACCAACGTAACGTTTTCAATGCGCCTGCGTGTTTTTCTCTTTCAACCCGCCTATGCGTGTGCGTGCGTGCTCCGCTCTCGCGCCACTGACGGCCCGCCCCTCACGTCAGGCAGTCTCAAAAATATTGGAGCGCCACCATCCAAGACGGTGCTTTTTCATAGTCTCCCAAACGCTGCGCACCGTGTGCACCCTCTTCATTCGTGCCACGACCTCCGTTTCATATCCACACAGGTTACATATGGACATAAACACATGTCTGATACTGAGACGTTTTTGCCACAGTTGTGTCCGAATTGTCCAAGAGTCATTCCTAGCCTTCCCCGTGTGGTTCAATAGGGGAGATGGAATATGGAAGAGGGGTTGCAGGTGATAGAACTTAACCCTAAATCTGGATGGAATCCACTCCCAACACCAAGGCACGGAATAGATAGAGTACTCTAGAATTGACCAAATGTATTAAGACCCGCCAACGTGACCAAAAGCAAAGAAGCCCCTATAAAATTCTAGATAAGCCTAAACCTCAGCCTTCAGGTTTAGATGGTACAAATAAGGAACCCCAATATTCTAAGACAGGGAGAATACCGATGCCTAGGTACCTGAACCCTGCTTAGAGAAAAACGCTGCATCTATGCCATCTTTCTGGAGATCTGAGGTTCGTGCTGGCCTCCCATTTCTCCCTCCCCCGCCCTCCCCCCCCCTCATCAAACGGGAGAATGCTCAAATTAAGGATTTCCCATTACTAAATTCCCTCCGTCTCCCTCCATTTAAGTTCTTGTCTTTCGTCGTTCCTTTACCTCCTGGCTGAATCCACTGTTGCAGAAATGCCGAGACTGTGGAGAGAGACCCCGCTGCACAGAGCCGGCTGTCTGAGTAGCGGCAGAAGGCAGTCAAGGCAGGGATCCACATCCAGGAAACATGCCATAACTCCAGCCGCGGCGCTGAAGCCAGAAAAGCCGCAGCCTTTTTCGTAACGTCGCAGTGATTTGGGCGCATGCGCCACGCTCCCCCCCCCCCCGCTCCTGGGCCTTCCCCCTGGCGCGCTGGTTTCCAGCTGCTGGGACTCTCTGTGGTCAGTCAACAAACACCTTCACCTCCTTTCTCTGTGCCCTGCTCCCTAGCAGATCTTGCCTAACTCAGCGCATCCTGTCGTCAGTCCCACTCCCAATCTATGCAGCCAAGTCCAACTATGCTTGTTTCTCCCGTTTTTCTTCTTCTTTTTAATCTTTCTTTCTTTCTTTCTTTCTTTTTTTTTTGTCGGTAGTCGGGCTTGAACTCTGGGCCTGGGCACTGTCCCTCAGCTCTTCAGCTCAAGGCGAGCGCTCTACCACTTGAGCTACAGCACCACTTCCGGTTTTCTGGGCGGTTTATTGGAGATAGGAGTCTCACGGTCTCTCCTGCCCGGGCTGGCTTTGAACCGCGATCCTCAGATCTCAGCCTCCTGAGTAGCTAGGATTACAGGCGTAAGCCACCAGCGCCCGGCTTCTTTCTTTCTTTCTTCCTTCCTTTCTTTCTCTTTCTTTTTTTTTTTTTTTTTTTGCTGTTTCTTTTTCTTTTCTTTCGCTGGTCCTGAGGCTTGAACTCAGGGCCTGGACACTGTGCCTGAGCTTTTGTATTCAAGGCTAGCGTTCTATTATTTGAGCCATAGAACCATTTCCGGCTTTTTTGGTAGTTTATGGGAGTGTAGAGTCTCACAGACTGTCCTTCCTAGACTGTGTTCGAACTGTGATCCTCTTATCTCCTGAGAAGCTAGCATTAAACGGATAGGACCCCTGTGCCAGCTGTGACCTTCCAATCCTTGATATTTCCTATGCAGCTGCAACCCAGATAGACCTCTTTTTTTTTTATTGTTTATTTTTGTTCCAGTTCTGGGGCTTGAACTTAGGACCTAGGCTCTGTCCCTGAGCCTCTCTGTGCTGAAGGCGAGCACTCTACTATTTGGGCCACAGCACCACGTCTGGCTTTTTCTGAATAGTTTATTGGAAATAAGAGTCTCACAGACTTTCTTGCCTGGGCTGGCTTTGAATCTCGGTCCTCGGATCTCAACCTCTTGTGTAACTGGGCTTGAGGGCAGGAGCCACTGGTGCCTGTCAGGGCTTTTACTCTCTCTCCTGCTGTGCCTGATATTCCAAGCTTTGAAAAAAAAAAAAAATTGCCTGGCGCTGGTGCCTCCACCTGTAATCCTAGCTACTCAGGAGGCCGACATATGAGGATCTTGATTCAAAACTAACCAGCACAGGAAAGTCCATAAGACTTTTATATAAGGGGGGAGGGGGGCCAGGATGAGCCCAACATATCTGGCTCACCACTTGTAATTCTACCTACCCAGGAGGCTGAGATCTGAGGATGGCACATCAAAGCCAGCCCAGGCAGGAAAGTCCAGGAGAAAATGTACAAATAATAATAATAATAAAATGATTAAAGGGGAGCTGGGAATGTGGCTCAGTGGTAGAGTGGTTGTCTAGCATGCATGAAGCCCTGGGTTTGATTCCTCAATACCATAAACAAAAAAGCCAGAAATGGCTCTGTGGCTCAAGTAGTAAAGTGCTAGCCTTGAGCTGAAGAGCTCAGGGACAGCACCCAGGCCCAGAGTTCAAACCCCATGACTGACCAAAAAGAAAAAAAAATTATTAAGGGGTGCTGGGCACCCATGGCTCACATCTATAATCTTAGCCACTCAGGAGGCTGAGAGCTGAGGATCACAGTTCAAAGCCAACCAGTCCATGAGACTCATCTCCAATTAACCACCAGAAAACCAGAAGTGCTCTATGGCTCATTAGAGCACTAGCCTTGAGCTGAAGAGCTGAGGGACAGCACTCAGGACCAAGGTTCAAGACCCACGACCAAAAACAAACAAAAAAAAAAAAATTAAGAGGAAAAACTAAGAATAGATGTAGCTAATTGAGAGCTCTTGCCTACCCTCTGGAGGCTTTGGCCAGGATATACCCACAGAATATCCAAAGCAGTTGTCATGTAGAGTTAGACAGAATGCCCTGTTGAAATGGACTCAGAAAAGACCCAGAAACAGGGAGCCCACATACACATACACACAAAAAAGGGTGATAACAAATATATGGAAGGGGATTCAGTCAGTTTAGGGCACAAAACTGTGCAAGCTTTTGTCTTCAGAATCTTCAGAACTCTACTGTTATCTGTGTATTAAGAATACCTTTCCGGGCTGGGAAGGTGGCTCAGTGGTAGAGCGCTTGCCTTGCATGCATGAGGCCCTGAGTTTGATTCCTCAGCACCACATAAGCAAAAAGAAAAAAGCCCGAAGTGGTGGTGTGGCTCAAGTGGTAGAGCGCTAGCCTTGAGCTGAAGAGCTGAGGGACAGTGCCCAGGCCCAGAGTTCAGGCCCCATGACCAGACCCCCCCACCAAAAAAAAAAAAAATGCCTTTCAAGCCAGGTGCTGGTGGTTCATGCCTGTACCCAGGAGGCTGAGATCTGGGGATCATGATTTGAAGCCAGCCCAGGCAGGAAAGTCTGTGGGACTTTTTTTTTGTTTTTGGTCAGTTAAGGAGCTTAAACTCATGGCCTGGATGCCATTCTTGTGCTTTCCTGCTGGAGGCTAGCACTCTACCACTTGTCACCAATAAACTACTCAAACTGCTGGAAGTGGCGCATAAATGGTAAAGCACTTTCTTTTGAGCCCAAGAAACTTGGGGACACTGCCCTGGCCCTGCGTTCAAACCTCAGGACTGGCAAAAATAAATAAATAATAAAGTAAATAAAAATAAAAAGCTAAGGAATAGCACCTAGGCCCTGAGTTCGAGCCTCCGGATCAGCGCCCCCCACCCCCCAAAAAAAACACACATTTTTAAAAGTCCTTTAGTAACAGCTACAAGGCTTCCTTCTTTCTCCTGTAAAAACTCAAGTAGTAAGATTAGTGGTACTGCCAAGTGCCGGTGGCTCGTGCCTGTAATCCTAGAACTCAGGAGGTTGAGCTCTGAGGATAGAGGTTCGAAGCTAAACCAGGCAGGAAAGTCTCTTAACTCCAATAAACTACCAAAACTCCAGAAGTGGAGCTGTGGCTCAAGGGTACAGCTCTGCATTGAGTAGAAAAACCAGAGAAAGGACCCAAGCCTTGACCCTGTCGATGCCCCAGTTTTGGCACACACACACACACACACACACACACACACACACACACACACACAAAACTATACGCGTGTGTGCATGTGTTGGGTGTGTGTGTGGTGTATACAATATGCATACATATAGTATCACTATAAAAAGTGCCATATAGATGTATATGCATGTATATACATGTGCACATATACTTGTATGTATATATGTATCTGTCTATCTAATTTATTTGTAATTGAGAAGATTGGAATTCTTTCATTGCCTAAAGCACTGTTAGAACTTACAGAAAAATGTAACAAAAGGCAGGAAATGAGTCAGCTCTAGTGGCTATTATCCTAGTTGTTTCAGTCAGGGCAAAAAATTATGCAAAAATCTATCTGAGGATCACAGTTTGAAGCTAGCTCAGACAGAAAAGTCCCTGAGATGCTTATCTCCAATTAACCACCAAAAAGCCAGAGAGACCAGGCCCTGATGGTACTTGCCTATAATCCTAGCTACTCAGGAGTCTGAGATCAGAGGATCTTGGTTCAAAGCCCGCCCTGGCAGGAAAGTCCCTGAGACTCTTATCTCCAATAAAGTATTCAGAAAAAGCAGGAAGTGGTGCTGTGGCTCAAGTAGTAGAACACTAGCCTTGAGCACAAAAGAGCTCAGGGAAAGTGCTCAGGCCCAGAGTTCAAGCCCCAGTACCAAAAAAAAAAAAAAAAAATCCAAAAGAGAAGGTGTAGTTCAAGTGGTAGAGTGCCAACTTTGTGCTAAAAAGCTAAGGAACAGCACCTGGCCCCTGAGTAAACTCAGTACAGGCCCAAAAAAGGGATGAAATGTGCATATGTAGATTTAGCAGTGGATTTAGTAGATTTAGTCTTTCTCTTGCAGTGGGCAGATTTCAATGCGACTTTGTATTTACTGTAGGGATCCTGATTCTTAAAGTAACCTTACCACCTATGTATCTTCCATTTTTCAACCTTCAGGAATTTTGAGTCCTGTGTCATCTGTCTATCATTGCACTGTTTTGTGGATTCTCTGAAGCATACAATTTTAAAAAACAAAAACTGGCAACTCTGGAAGCTGAAATTTGACAATCGTGGTTTGAAGCCGGTCTAGGCAGGCAAATTCATGAGACTCTTATCTCTTATTAAACACCAAAAAGCCAGAAGTGGAGCTAGAGCTGTAACTCAAGTGGTAGACCACTAGTTTTGAGCACAAAAACTCAGGAACAGGGCTGGGAAAGTGGCTCAATGGTAGAGCGCTTGCCTTGCATGCCTGAGGCCCTGGGTTCGATTCCTCAGCACCACATAAGCAAAAAGAAAAAAGAAAAGCCAGAAGTGGCGCTGTGGCTCAAGTGGTAGAGCACTAGCCTTGAGCTGAAGAGCTGAGGGACAGCGCCCAGGCCCAGAGTTCAGGCCCCACAACCGGACCCAAAAAAAAAAAAAAAAAAAAAACTCAGGAACAGTCCCAGGTCCTGAGTTCAAGCCACAGGCAAGAAAGAAAAAGAAAGGAAAGAAAGAAAGTAAGTAAGTGGGAGGGAAGGAAGGAAGGGAAAGAAAAAGAGAAAGGAAGGAAAGAGGGAAGAGAAAGAAAGAAAGGGAAGTTAAGGAAGGAAAGAAAGAAAGAAAAAGAAAGAGGAGAACAAGGAGAAGGAGAAGGAGGAAAGGAGGGAGGGAGGGGAGAGGGAGGAGAGAGGGGAGGAGGGGAAGAAGCTGAGCAACACTGTCTTATTCCTGTAATCCTAGCTACTCAGAAGGGAGAGATCTGAGGATTTCGGTTCAAAGCCAGCCCAAGCAGGAAAGTGTGTAAGACTCTTATGTCCAATTAACCACCAGAAAACCAGAAATGGTCCTGTGGCTCAACAACCAGAAGTAGAACTGTGGCTTAAAGTGG